ACCATTTATCTAAGAGGTATTGTCAGCAAAAATATGAGGTGTTAAAATGCAACATAAATAATAACTGTAAAAAGTTTTTAATCAAAATAATGATTATGTAAAATAAAAAAATAAGCAACGAAATACTTTATTTTAATGGTAGATCAAATTGAATGTGGGTGCAAGTGAAGTTTTCTTTTTTTTTCTTCTATAATCTGCAGTTAGTTTAATATATCTATTTTTTTTTTAATGATGTTTTTACGTCTAAAACGATACCATATATCATTTATTTTATATTATTTTTATACTTATTTACTAATACAAAGTTAAAAACGGATAAGGCCAAAAAACCCAAAAAAGGTTAATTATATTTTTTTATAGTTTTTAAAAAAATAATAGTAACTCTAGTATCACAGTATTTTACTTTCTAAGCTAAAATATTACGGTATAATAGACTCGACATTTAAGTGGATTCAAAGCTATTTGTCAAACAGAAAACAATTTGTATTACTAGAAAAGTCAGGAGCACTCAATATTACGCGTGGAGTTCCGTAGGATTAAAACCTAGGTCCATTATTGTTTTTTTTTCTTCTTCTTTTTTTCTTCTTATTTGTTTTAATATTTTTTGTTTTCAATTTTTTAGACTAAAAAAAATATGAGTTTTGCTTTATTGAATTTTTGTTTTACTTTAAAAATTAGTGTTTTTTTTTTTAATGAGTGACTAAAGGGGCTCTATGAAAAGGTTGTGATGATAAACGCATTATCCTTACCTTCTTTGAGTCCCTGATCGATTGTAACAATATATATATATATATATATATATATATATATATATATATATATATATATATATATATATATATATATATATATATATATATATATATATATATATATATATATATATATATATATATATATATATATATATATATATATATATGAAAAATTGTTATATTGTTTAATCAACGAAATAAAAGTTAATAAAAAAACTGATAAATTGTCACTGATAACACGTCTTTCATTAAAGTTTCCAACTGTTTTCACCCTAAAAACAGTTTTCACCCTAACAACAGTTTTCATTCTAACAGAATGACTTCGATTTAAATGTTTTTACATTTATGTTTTTATAATTGAATGTCAATTTTATGAACTTCCTTATTTTTACGCTTTTTAAATAATGGATAAATTTACAGTTTTTTTTTTTTTTTTTCTTTTTTCTTTTTTTTTTTTTGACAACGCTGAGAATGTAGACTTTTATATAATTGATCTAAAAAAAATCTAAAATAAATCTAAAAAATAAATCTAAATCTAAAAAAATGGGTTTGAGTCATAATAGCAAATCATAATTGTAAAATTACTGTTAATAAAATAATAATAAAATGTAATATTTAATAATTTTACATATTGATTTTATATATTTAAAAAAAAAAAATCAATTTTTTTTTTTTATATAATATAAATAAAAAACACTTAACTAAAAAAGACGATTCATTAAAGAAAAAGATAAGGACTAAAAGAAGATACGCCAAGTCACCACAACCCAAGTCACCACAATCCAAGTCACCACAACCCAAGTCATCACAATCCAAGTCACCACAACCCAAGTCACCACAACCCAAGTCACCTCAACCCAAGTCACCACAACCCAAGTAACCACAACCCAAGTAACCATAACCCAAGTCACCACAACCCTTTCATAGAGCTTTTATGTGAGCTATTATGTGGGCTTTAACAAATCAAAAATAAAATAAAGTTGTTTAAAAAATATTATATAAAACTTCACAAAAAAATAAAGACAAAAACTTTAATAAATATGCATATTAATAAAAGTTGTAATTCATACTAGATATATACCTAATATAATTATATATCATTGAATATAAATATACTAGCTAAATATAAAATACAAAAATAAAAAGATAATTGAATATATATTTAATTCGCATTTATATTTTATATTTATTTAATATACTTAAATCAGTATGTTAGATAAATATAAAATACAAAAGTGAACTGCTTGAGTCACAATTTTTTGTGTCTGTCTTTTTATTTTTTATTCTATTTCATTCTTTAAAAAAATCTGAAACTTTAATTAAATATTTAACACAGACACGTACACGTCAATCGATCTATATTGATGACGTATGTCTATGTAAAACTAATGTAGATGCATATGTACATATTCGTATAATAAATTCAAACCCTATAAATAACTTGTTGACTACATATTAAGAAAAAAACAACCAAATGAGCAGTTATTTTTACCTCTGAATTTTAGAAAATAAATGTTAATAATTAAATATATAATAACTATTTAATAGAAATTTGGAGTAACAAGATCATAGTTCTGCTAATCTAATAGTCATGTGATTCCTTAAAAAAACATTATCAAAGAAAAAAATAATAAACATTGTTTTAATTTCGGTTGACTCTAAATTTCCTTGGCTCACGAAATTAATCAATAGAATGAATATTGGACTATGATCACCGTAAAGTACAACAAAAACTTTACACCAATTGTCACCTCTTTTCAAATAGTTTACGTGTAAGTTTTTTTCTCTCCCTCAATAATCCAGTATTGAAGAATCCTCCCCCCCCACACACATTTTTTTTTCTAAAGGGCCTTTTTTTTAAGAGATTGACGATTGTGCCCAATCACTTTGTGGGCGGGGCAACCCGTGTCGTCGGCCCTGTAACAACTTTAATATTATTCAATAATATCAAACTTTCTTGTATACAATTAGTTTGCTAAATAGATAATACTTTAACTGACTTGTACCTATATGCTAAAGTGTTCAAAACTCATTTAACGAGACCCCAAAAGAGTAAATACATGTAAACTAAAACAAACTTTTGTCTTTGTTGATTTTTACTTGTTTTTTTAAATAATATAATGATGCATCAGACCAGTATAAGTTTTAGTTAGTCTTTTGATAACTTTTGGTATTACAAAAAAACACTGCAACTAATCAAATATAAATCACAAACTTTTGTGTACTTTTTATTCTCGGATGTTAATTTCGATAATTGGCGACTTAACTGGTCTCAGAAGTCGCCAAACTTTTGGAACCAGAATTTTTTTTGTTATTCTATTTAGATTCCGATTATTTTAGGTGTCAATGTCAAAACATGATAACAATCAATGTCATTTTTACCATTTATGTCAGTCATGAAATTGATTGCTGTTAGTGTCAAAACATTGAAAAAAATCAGTCAGCCTTTTAAAATAAAGTTTGGTTGAATCACTCTTACTCGTGATTCATATAATTAACTTAACTTATCAACATGTGGTCAAATCACGCTTACTCGTGATTTAAACACATGTTTAAAAATAAGTATTTAAAGAATCGTAAAGAGTCCCACTAAACTCAAAAGAATTTATTCATTTACAAAGATGTTTTCGTTTGCTAAAAAAGTTGGTTCAAAGATTTTTCAGAGGTTTTAATGCTTCTAAGATCTCACTGAGCAGTAACTAAGTAAAAGTAACTAAGGGTAAAGTAGTGCCAAACTTGAAGCTATTTCTTGCACTATTTTAAGTTTGGTGAACTAAAAAGCCAGTTATACGCTAATAAGTCACTCAGAATATTTAATTTCTACTAATAAACATCTTTTCCAATATTAGAAGTAAGATTTGATTATTAATATTTGATTATATATATTTGATTATTTATACTTAATTATATATATTTGATTATTTATTATTATTATTGTTGCTACTTTAGTTATTATCATTATTGCTATTATTATTGTCATTATTATTGTTTTTTTTTATTTTTGTTATTGTTATTTATTTAATAAAAATATTTTTTTTTTTTTATTGTAATGGGTTATCGAATGAAAATAAATTGCTTATTGATGCTGACGTTGTTGTTGTTATTTTTGTTGTTGTTTTTGTTTTAAGGTGATAAATTCACTCATAATTAATTTTTATTTTACGTTTAATGACAACCTGTACAAAACAGATCAAAATAATACAACGAGAAAAAATTTAGTATGCAGCTGATGTTTGTGCTACGTACTTTACAAAGTATACAACATAAACAACAATAGACTGAAACCCACTCATACCCCAATAGAGTTAACATATAATAAAGTTAATAAAAGTTTTTTTTAATTTTCTTTTCTTTTTTAATTAACTTTATCAATATTTATAATAGATTTTAAATGTATTTAATAAAAATCGTTCATTAGTTACGACAATTTAAAATCATTTCCTTGGGTAAATAGGTAAGTTTTATATTTAAGATTTATCATAAATATTTGGAATTCGTTAGAATTAAATATATAAATATTTAGCAGTCGTTTTTAAGAAATTTAAAAGTATAGTAGTAATATCTAAAGATCTATTGTAACGTAGACCAAGAAGAGAACAAATTGTTATAAAGTTGGGTTTACTTAATTTCAAAACTTTTTGCAAAACTCATTTTACATTAGTATCATTATATAGAATATTTCGTAGTCTATAAATTTGGTAAGTTTTTTTTTTTCGTAGTCTATAAGTATTACATTTTTTAGACGTAATTTAAAGAAAAGATTTAAAAACAAAATTCTTAAGCACTCCCCAAAAATCCAAGACTACTCTTTTAACCCCCTAGGGGTTAAATTGAGAATAGAATGTTTAGTTATGAGGTTTCATAAAACAAGAAAAAACATTTATGACGGTTTTAAAAAGAAAGAAAACCTTTTACAACACGACCTGTAGTGAAACATGAATTTATTAATATTAACCAGAAAACTAACCAGGTATTATTAAAATTATGAACCGTTACATCTTTGACGTTATGTTTCATTATAAACAAAATCGCCTCTTTTAGCTTTTAATTGATACTTAAAAAAAAGATATATTTTTTTGTCTGTGCAAGTATTAATTTTTATTTTACTATTTAAAATTTCGTTATGGTTATTTCGTTAGGTATTGTTATTATCGCAATTATTTTAATTTTTCACTAGAAAAATTAACAAAAAAAGGACGTCTTAAACATATAAAGTATTAGACTCTTTTGCGTTTTAACTGGTTGATGGAAACATCGGTGCACCAATCAAATTGTAGAAATACGAGTTATTCGAAAGTAGTAAAAAAAAAATCAGAGTCTAAATTTTTTTTTGCTGTTGCAAAAAAATCAGGAATTGTAGCACCACAAACGTTTTCTGTTGCATTTTATGGCGACAAAAATGTTGGAAAGACAAGTATTCTTCGACGAGCCATAACTGGTTGCTATCAAAAAATATATGTACCTACTGTTTTAGATATCTTTCAAATAGAAGTTCAGAGCCGAGACTGTTCTAAGTCTCATCTAACTGTTTACGACACTTCCGGATTACATCCTTTCCCTGCAATGATGCCTGTGGTTCTTTCTAAATGCGACGCATGTGTTGTTGTATTCTCGCTGACATCAGAAAAAACTTTGTTTTTTGCAGAACATAAACTTTCAGAAATACAAAAAATTAAAGGAAACAGTTTTCCGTGCATACTGGTCGGAAATCAATCAGACAGCAAGAACCGTGAAGTAATATTTGAAAAAGCTTTAAGATTAGCCGTAAAATACAGTTGCTCGTACCTAGAAGTATCTGCTGAATTAAATAAAAACGTCGTTGAATTATTTTCCGTAGTAATTAAAAAAATTGATAAGTACGATAGACATTTTAAGAACTTAAATGAATTTCACAAGAAATATTTTCAAAGAATGTCAGATTTAACAATGTTGTAGTTCAGATGTCAGATTCGACGTTTGCAGTAAAGCCTGCGTTTTTAAACTAATACCATAAAGTTGTCGTAAAGTTTAAAACTAATACCGTAAAATTGCCTGAAAATAACAAAGTTGTGTTCATTAGTATGAACATTCCATTCGATTGAAATATTGTAGTAGGAATTAATTAGTGAAACATAAATTAACATTTTTTTTAGTTATATATAAACAATTATATTATATTGTAAAAGTAAAAAAGAAATAAAAATTAAAAAAAATACTTGATATTTTATTTAAAACAAGAACATTTACACTGCTTGAACATTTACACTGCTTGAACATTTACACTGCAAGAACATTTACACTGCTTGCACACTTAAGTTAAATGCGGCTGCGCGGTGCTTTGTGATGAGACCGTTAGGTCTTCTTAGAGCACCTAAATAACTTAAAAAGAATGTCACTTAAACTGTAATTCTTGAGTATTAATAATACCGCTCTTTTAATAATTTCTTTATGATTCAATTGAGATTCAGAAGTGGAATTTTTGTTCAGAGTGTTTAACATGTAATGAACAGATTCAAAACATTGATCATCAAACGCTCATAGCGACAAACTAATTATGTTTAAGAAAATAACGAGGTTGTATTTTTTAATATGGCCTTTCCATCCCAATGAAATATTGTGATTGGTATTAATCTTTACATAAATTTCAGCTTATATATAAATCAAAATAAAATCTATAAAATAGATAATATGTCTGTTACATAAAATTTTCTTCTTCTTTAAAAAAGTAAAAATCATACAAAAAATTTTTGGCCTCAATTTTAAAGGGGATGAAAAAATTTTGCCTAAAAAGTTAATTTTGTGAGATTTCGTGTACTTTTTGTGAGAAAAAATAGGTCAGTCTGTTTATTAGCTCTTAATATCATGCTATTAAAATTATTGATGTAGTTAACTTTTCATTTGTGAGATTTCGTGTACTTTTTGTGAGAAAAAATAGGTCAGTCTGTTTATTAGCTCTTAATATCATGCTATTAAAATTATTGATGTAGTTAACTTTTCACATATATATATATATATATATATATATATATATATATATATATATATATTGATGTAGTTAACTTTTCATATATATATATATATATATATATATATATATATATATATATATATATATATATATATATATATATATATATATATATATATATATATATATATATATATATGTATATATATATATATATATATATATATATATATATATATATATATATATATATATATATATATATATATATATATATATATATATATATATATATATATATATATATATATATATATATATATATATATATATATATATATATATATATATATATATATATATATATATATATATATATAATCGGGTGGACACGGAAAAATCCGGTCAACTTTAATTTGAGATTTCTCTTTTTTTTATTAAATGTGTTTACATCAATTAGAGTTTCAACTTAATTTTAAAGGGCTTCATGGGCTGTTTGGCAAGAGATCAAACTTTATAGCGGATTGATGCCATCATTTCGCAGATTTTTTCTTTTTTCATTGTATTGGTGGCATTAATCCACTTTTTTGGAAGTCCTTTTTATTTTTGTTATTTCAACTGTCTTACAAAGAACTCCTTTAACTATTGTCCAAAAATCTTTAATCTTGCGCTCTTTAGGACGATTTGGAGGATTCGCATCTTTAGAATCAACTTTTTTAGAATAGTGGGAAGCAGCAAGATATGGCCAAAAGAGACATCAGTGTTTGTGTTTTTCATAAATGGAAAAAAACTTTTTGGATGCATTCTTTGATGTAGAGATTGACATTCAAGGTCTTCTTAGTGACAAAACAAGAGGGCTGCATACCACAGTTTCAAATTGCATGCCACACAAGGAACTTGGATGCAAGTTTTTCTCGTCAAATATATTCAAATTGATCATCGACAGGTTTATCTTTGTTCTCATAGTAAAATTGTTGACCAGAAAGTTGTGAAAAATCTGCCTTGCAACATGTTTCGTCGTCTTCAATTATACGCATACTTTTATCCGCCATTGTTTTAACGAACTTCTTTGCGCATTGAATTCCTTTATTTTCACCATTTAAGCTTCTCTTAGATGTATTTTTCTTTTGAAATGCTTTAACTCTAGCATTTTTAAGTACTTTTTTGATGTAAGAACGCAAAATCTTGAATCGGATTTCTGCTAATGAACGTAAAATCTACGTTACCTTTTTGGATTTATGGAAAGTTTTCTTCCTTCCACTTCTAGGTTTTCTTTCGAGGGTTTGAGTAGTCTTGAACTTTTTTATAATATCTATGACTGTAGATTTGGGGACATTTGTTCGTTTAGCAATCAAGCGATATGAAGTCGATGGATTTTTGCTAAAAATATTAAAACTTTTTTAAGTACATCAATTTGTTTCCAAAACATTTTGCAAATCATTGATTTGTAAACAAAAGTTTATCAACACAATTAAAGATAAAGAAGTAACGCTTAATTAAAAAAATAAGAGAAACAAAAAGCATTTGCGGTTTTGGAGAAATCTCAATTTAAACTTGACCGGATTTTTCCGTGTCCACCCAATATATATATATATATATATATATATATATATATATATATATATATATATATATATATATATATTATATATATATATATATATATATATATATATATATATATATATATATATATATTGATGTAGTTAACTTTTCATATATATATATATATATATATATATATATATATATATATATATATATATATATATATATATATATATATATATATATATATATATATATATATATATATATATCAAAAATGTATTTTGATGCATGGAATAAGAGATGATAACTCACTTAATCAGCAACTATGGTAATAATTATCGATAAGTGAAAGAGATGCCTTACGATAATAATTAGACTTATTAATAATAGTAATAATAGTAATAATAATAGTATTATCATTATTATTATTATTATTATTATTATTATTATTATTTAGAACATACTTTTAGATCAAAGTTTTTAAACATTTTTCCTAACTTATAGTTTTCAGATTCAATAACTAACGGTTGAAAAGCAGCTAGCGACTAGCTAGCAATATTTGTAACGATGCCAAGATGAAGACATGTAGTTTATCATCACAAAACCCTAATAACCCGTAAAAAAAAAAATATTTACATATAAATATAGAAATACAGATATATATTGTTTAACATCATAAATAACACAAAGAAACATAAAAATGAACACAAAGAAAAACAAGATTTAAGATTTTTTGAAAAGAATATAAATTTAAAAATTCCAAATATTTATTACGAGTTATTACGATTTAGAATATAGTATTTAGAAATATAATATATAAAATTTAAAAAATGTAAAAAATTTATTTTTTGTTTTGAGAGATCAAAATAAAAAGTTAAGATTTTTAAAAAAACTTAAATCATTGCACATAAATAATACCATATGACAGTTTGACCGCTAAATAAATATAGAATAAATAAATATAGCTGGAAAGAAAATTCCCTTAAAGAAGTCCTCTAGGAGAAACTAAAAGAAGATGTCGTCTTTTAGTTTCGATTTGAAATTATTTATAGTATCAAATTTTTTAATGTTTTTGTTGATTTTTATATTCCGTATTTGCGACATGCTCTCTTTCAAAGTACGGAAAGTTAATAAAGGTTCAAACAGTTTAGTTAAGAAGTAATGTCTTAAAAAAAGATTTGATGACAAAATAACGCATTGATACTGCAATAGCATCTGCAGAAATATTTTATTAGTTTTAACAACTTTTTGGAGGTTAAAATAAATAATTTGTTTTAATTTGTCAAGTAATGTTGTAATTAAATGAACTATTAAGATGGTAAATCCCCTTTTTTTTTGACGATTTATCAACAAAAAAAACTTTAATGGTTCTTATTAATTTATCAAGGAACATGAATTTTACTTCTAAAATAATTTTTTTTTATTGTAAAACATTCAATTTAGCCATTTTCGTGTTAATATAAAAAAAAATCAAACTTTCTAGTAAAAAATTTTATACAAAAAAAAAAGTTTTTCTGCTATTCAAGCTTCTCTTCTTTGCCTTAGATATCTAAATGTGTTTTCTTCTCCTTCTACTTCTTGTTTACATTACGTAACGCACCTCGAGCTCATTAGTTTAGTTTACTTTAATTTTTATACAAATTTTTAAACGATCGTTTTCTCTGAATCTACATTTTCATAATCGTTACAAAGATATCTCAAGTTTTAATAATCTAATTGACTTGAATTTTTTTACAATATGTTTAATACACTAGTGTCAACAAAATGTACCAAAATCAGCATTAATCTGCAAAATCAGCATTAATCTGCAAAATCAGCATTAATCTGCAAAATCAGCATTAATCTGCAAAATCAGCATTAATCTGCAAAGGAAAAGATAGTTATGATAGTTAGGTTTTTTTTTATCATAAAATTGATACAAATGAGAAAAATACCATAAAATTTTAAATAAAATTTTTCTTTACACCTTTTTGGTACATTTTGTTAACACCCATTTACAAATTCTAACTGCAAAATTTGATACCTATCGGACTATGCAATATAGAGTTATCTTTGTACCATCATAGGGTCCTTTTTTGCCTTTTTACCCTAATTAATAATGTCATATTAATTTTTTTTATTATTTTTAATTTTTTTTTATAGTTTTTTCAATACAAAAAAATTATTCAAATAGTAATAAACTTTCTATGGTACATTTTAGAAATAATAGTTTGAATGGGGATCTACCGTAAAACGGGGTGACTTTAATAGGTTTTTGAGCATTTTTTCAAATAAATTCTTTCGTATAAATTTTTTTTTGAATTTTATTTTTTCGATATAACATTATACCTTTCCTTTATAGAATTCCATTAAATAAAATTTTTTATTTTGGTTTTAATATATATTTTTAAAGTCAAAAATGTTATCAATCTCAATCCTTCGTTGGGGGTGACTTTGA